TTTACCCATGGACTTTGTTCCCCACAAGCAGAGCCCAGAAACTAGCTTAAATTTCCTGCAAAATAAAAGGATTTCCTGATTGTAATCCCAAAGAAGAATTAGGCTTGGAGTTGGAGCTAGAAATCCTACTCGGAGCCTAAATCTCATGGGAACATGTCAATTTTTGCCAGGGTTAGAATCAGAGACCTTAAAAATATGTATCTTTAGGAATAATAAAGAGGTACACTCAGCATAAAAAAATTACATGTAGCTCTATTTTCACAAAGATTACTATCCCCTCAATAAAACACCAGAATTATTTGAATGATTGCAAGGAGAGTGAAGCTGGAGCTGTAAAATTCTGCAACTTGGTCTAGGTCAGGCTTTCTCAACCTACTGAAAACTGCTGAGTACTGGCCAGATGTCTTGACTGATTGAAATGTTATCCCATACACCAAAAGGTTGCAGGTTCATCCCCTGGTCAGGTATCAGAGGCAACTGATTGATGTTTCTAGCTTACAACAATGTTTTTTCTTTCTCTCTCTCTTTGAAATCAATAATACAATAATAATTAAAAATATCTTCAGGTGAGGATTAAAAAATTGAAGAAAACTACTGAAAGCTTGGGCTAAATAGGTTTTTGTTGTGGGGGGCTGCCCTGTGTGCATTGTAAAGTGTGTAACAGTATCCCTGGCCTCTACCCACCAGATGCCACTTGCACATTCCCACCTCTAGCTATAGAAACTGAAAATGTTTCCAGACATGACAAAAGGTCCCCTTGGGCCTAAAATTATACCCAATTGAGAACCTATGGTTTAGGAACATGAAAGGGTGAAGTGAAAACCATTTATTCACCAGACTTACACTTTTCAAATTGAGGCATGCCTGTTGAGTTGGGTCACACAACAGCAATCTTTTAGCCCTTTGTTAAAAATCTGAATAAGACCTGACTGGTATAGCTCAGTGGATTGACTATGGGCCTGCAAACCAAAGGGTTGCCAGTTTGATTCCCAGTCAGGGCACAGGCCTAGGTTGTGGGCCAGGGCCCCAGTAGAGGGCACAAGAGAGGCAACTACACATTGATCTTTCTCTTTCTCCTTCCCTTCCCCTCTCTCAAAAAATAAGTAAGTAAAATCTTTCAAAAAAGCTGAATAATATCAAACAACAACAGCTACTATATATCTTACTTCTAATTTTCATAATGGCTACAGTAAGTTCTGTTAACTTCATTTAACAAAAGATGAAGCTGAGACTCATATGGCCACATACCTTAATGTCACACAAATAATTTCAGATGGAATTGTGATTAAAATCCACATGTGAAGTTCAACAAACTCCACCCTCTTTCCCCAACTCCAAATTACCACTCTCAAAGCAGTTATCTTCTTGCCTTTGGAGACAATATCTGGATCTTCCTCCACACAAATACAGTGTTTTGGGGCACATTATATATTCCAAGAAGCTGTTGATAGATGCTCTGGTAATCTGCCAGCAAGTTAAATTTATTACTGATGTTGCAAAACTAGGGGGTTCCTCAGGTTCTGCTAAAAAAAAAGTGACTGTTCTCAGTGGATTCTGATTACCCTCAACTACCTGTTTTCAGTTCAAGGCAACTTTTACCTCAGCCTGGCTGGATACACCTTGACCAAGATATTAAATCATTGGCAAAAAAAAAAAAAACACACTACAGAATAATGGCATTAGAAATAGGAAGTCCTTGACCACAAAGATGGCTTTTAAAGAAGCAAGATAGACATCAGAAACTTTATAGACCTCAAACTAGACCATCAATATGGACAATCAAAACCTGAAAATCCCCCTCTCCACTGAGATGTTCCTGAGTTCCTGGACCCTCCTGTCCACCTGTGTTCTTTAATGACCATTCTCTGATGTGAAATTCATGAATATATATACAGGCACACGAAAGCACAAATATGACAATGCCCTTATACCTTTTCTTTAATTCTAGAATATCGAACTTTAATAAAAACATTCCAAAAAAGTATGCTGGTCAAATTTCTTTAAATGGAAACATTTTTCCCCCATTAGTTTGTCAGTTGCCATCTTTGGCTGCATATTAGAATCACCTGGAAAATTTAAAAAATACTGATGCCCAGATTCCACCCCCAAGAGATTGTTATTTAGTTGGTTTTGGGTGTGGCCTGGGCATGAAGATTCTGCAAAGCTCCCTGGGGGGATTCTCAGGCACATCTGTAGCCTCATGCCTCCCTGAATCCACATCCTTGTGCCCTGTGCCCTTGTAGAATCTCCTCCCACATTGACTTTAGGTGTTGCCATGTGGTTTGCATTGGCCAATGAAATATTAACAAATATGACACAAGCAGAGACTAGAAAAACATCTGCTTTTGGGTTTGACCTTTCTTATTGCTTTTGGCAGTGAAACTGAGACAGTATGGGGGTAACATCTGGACTCCATCTTGACCAAAATATCCATCTTAGGGGCCTATGACTCCTCATTTTCAGTATAAAATTAACCTAACCACATTCTTAAAGGAAAGAATGTACGATAGCCCTGGCTGGTGTGGCTCAATACACTGGATCAAGCACCAACCTGTGAACCAAAAGATCTCCAGTTCAATTCCCAGTCAAGGCACATGTCTGGGTTGCAGGCCAGTTCCCAGCAGGGGATGCATAAAAGGCAACCATACATTGATATTTCTCTCCCTCTCTCCTTCCCTTCCCCTCTAGAGATAAATAAATAAAAATCTTCAAAAGAAATACCTAAAAAAAAGAAACTAATTACTAGGGACTTCTGGCGAAGATGAAAACACAGGTAGATATGCTTTGCCTCCTAGCACATCCAAAAGAAGGACAACGACAAGTTAAAAAAAAAAAAAGAAACAACAGAACTGCCAGAAAACCAAACTGTATGGAAGACCAACAACTAAGGAGTTAAAAGAAGAAACATTCATCCAGACCAGTAGGAGGGGCTGAAATAGGCAGTCAGGGTAGAGGGGAATCATGGCAGCTTGAGGACTGGGGGGTCCCACATTTGTGTGCAGATAAACTGGGAGGAACAACTGGGGAGCGGGACAGATGGTACAACCCAGGATTCCAGCTCCAGGAAATAATGTCTCAAAACCTCTGACTGAAAAAAACTGTGGGGGTTGAAGCAGCAGGAGAAACTCCCAGCCTCCCAGGAAAGTCCATAGGAGAAGCCCATAAGGTCCTAGAATGTACACAATACAACCCACTCGGGACTCAGCAACAGGGCAGCACATGAAAGGGCACAATTTACTGATGGGTAGCAAAAGTGACTGAAAGTAGGGTGAGAGACAAGTAAGTGACACTGTTTCCTCTGTGACCCCTCCCCCACACATAGCACCATGGTGTAGCAATGTGGGTTGTCCCGCTCTGGCAAATACCTAAGGCTCTGCTCCTTACTACGTAACAGGTGCACCCAGACAAAAAAAATGGCCCAAATGAAAGAACAGATCGAAGCTCCAGAAAAAAATACAACTAAGCAATGAAGAGATAGCCAACCTATCAGGTACACAGATCAAAACCCCGGTAATCAGGATGCTCACAGAATTGGTTGAGTATGGTCACAAACTAGAGGAAAAAGTGAAGGCTATGAAAGTGAAATAAAGGAACTGTACAGGGAACCAACAGCAAAAGGAAGGAAACCGGGACTCAGATCAACAGTTTGGAGAAGAAGGAAGAAATAAACATTCAGCCAGAACAGAATGAGGAAACAAGAATTTGAAAAAATGAGGAGAGGCTTAGGAAACTCCGGGACAACTTTAAATGTTCCAACATCTGAATCATACGGGTTCCAGGAGGAGAAGAGGAAGAGCAAGAAATTGAAAAGTTATTTGAAAACATAATGAAGGAGAACTCCCCCAATCTGGCAGGAAATAGACTTCCAGGAAGTCCAGGAAGCTCAGAGAGTCCCAAAGAAGTTGGATGCAAGGAGGAACACACCAAGGCACATCATCATTATATTACCCAAGATTAAAATGAAGGGAAGAATCTTAAAAGCAGCAAGAGAAAAGGAGACAGTTACCTACAAAGGAGTTCCCATCAGACTGTCAGCTGCTTCCTCAAAAGAGACCCTGCAGTGCAGGAAAGAAGGGGCTGGAAAGAAGTATTTGAAGTCATGAAAGGCAAGGACCTACATCCAAGATTGCTCTATCCAGCAAAGCTATCATTTAGAATGGAAAGGCAGATAAAGTGCTTCCCAGATGAGGTCAAGGTAAAGGAGTTCATCATCACCAATCCCTTATTATATGAAATGTTAAAGGGATTTAATCTAAGAAAAAGAAGGAGATCAAAAATACTAACAGTAAAATGACAACAGACTCACGACTATCAACAACTGAACTTAAAACAAAAACAAAAACAAACTAAGCAAACAAGTAGAATAGGAACAAATTCACAGAAATACAGATCACATGGAGGGTTATCAGCAAGGAGGAGGAGGGGAGAGAATGGAGAAAAAGATAGGAGGAATAAGAAGCATAAATGGCAGGTACAAAATACACAGGGGGAGGTTAAAAATAGTATGAAATTAGAGAAGCCAAAGAACCTATATACGTATGGAAAGGTTCCTGAAATTCCAGTGTGGAATTCAAAACAAAAACAGTATTAACACACAAAGCACTTCATTGAGGTGTACTCTTATGAATTCTGCACTTTACAGCATACCTCAATAGAAGACAAAAAATTACAGATATACACTGAAATTAAAATAATTATTTTAATTTTTATTTATTGATTTTGAGAAAGAGAAAAACATTTATTTGTTGTGGCACTTATTTATGCATTCATTGGTTGACTTACATATGTGCCCTGACCAGGGATCAAACCTGCAACCTTGACATATCTGGATGATGTTCTAACCAACTGAGCTCCCTGGCCAGGCCCAAAATAATTTTTTGTTTTGGGCACTTAATTTTTAGTGCCCTTCTGGTCCAGCACTGATTCTCACAGAAAGAAAGAAATAAAATTAAGATTTCATTATATTAGAAATTATTTTAATCATCATGTTCTTAACTTACTTAGAGACTGCAATAGCTTTAACTTGTATTTTTCCATCAGGCAGAGTAATAGGCTTTGTATACTTAAATGTATTACTTTCACCATAACCAATTCTCTTTAGGAATTCAGGTTTGCTGCCATCCAGGGTGTAATATATGTTGACATCTGGGGTATCTGAAAAACCCAAAACAGAATAACTGGGATTAATGCTAAAGCAACAAGTCCCTGAATAATGCCAAAGGGTCAGTTATTTAATAAGATTTTTTATATATTGTAGAAATTAACAATAATTGAGTTCTTTCTCTATGCTGGGCACTCTGTCTTATGTGAATAAATTAGTTTCATCTGTAAAACCCTATAAGATAGATCCTATTTTATACCCATTTTATAGATGAGGTAACTGAGTCCCAGAGAGGTTAAGAAATCTATCAAATAACAGCAGAGTTGTGGTTTGACTTCTGCTAAGTTGGATGCATAGCCCATACTCTTGAACCTCTATGCTATTCTGTGTCTTGAATAGGGCACTGATACATACAAATAGAGTAGAGGGTCTATGTTAAGACTGGAATACCCATGTAGAAATCAGAAGATAATTTTTCATTTTTTTGCACATTGCTTAAGAAATTATTTTATATTTTAGCTGAACTTGGTAAATGATTCATTCTTATAATTCTTGGAAAATTTCTAAAGCTAATAAATGCATATGAATCAAGATTTAACATTTCAAAAATGATACATAGTTAAAGCTCTCCTTTCCACTCCCAACATTCTGGGTATCCTTTCAAAACTATTTTATATCCACACAAGCATATATGTGCATGTTCTTAATTTTCTCACTCTTTTTATACAAAGGATGTAGTATACCTATTCATTTCTTTTTTCATTTAACAGCATACCTTGGATATTTTTCTGTATTGGTAGGTAAAGAGTGACTTTTTGCCCATGATCTCTCCCATATCATGTGCTATCAATTTTTCTTTTAGTTTTGCCAATATTTTGGATTTAAAAAACGTATCTTGTAGTTTTAACTCACATTTCTTACATTTTGAGTAAGATTCATTTATTCTTTCAATAAATATCTATCAAATACCTATTATGTGCCAGAGACTGTTCTAGTATCTGGGGATATACCAGTGACCAAAGTCCCTGCTCTCATGGAGCATCCATTTCAGGAAGAAGACACAAACAGTAAAACAAAAAATGATATGCAACCTGTTGAAAGGTGATCAAATGCAGTGGAGTAAATAAAGCAGGGAATGAGGTCTGGTCAGCAAGCAGGTAAAGGGGAGGCAAAAGCATTTTCTTGTATGTTTAAAAGACGTTTATATTTCCTTTCCTACAAAATGTCCTTTATATCCTTTGTCCATTTTCTATAGTGTTATTATTCTTTTTGTTACTGAATTTTAGAATTACTTATTAGACACTTAAAATATTAGAAATTTGGATACCCTGTTACTCATATCGCCATTTGTCAAAAGCGTCCAACTTCAAAGTCAGGGGCACATATATTAAAATTTGTATTTTGCTTTGAGAATTTTAAAAATAATACTAGCTTTTAAGGTAAAGAAGGGCATAGTATAATGTAATACATTCTTAGTTGGAACTCTGTCTAGGAAGCACAGGGATCATAATATAAAAACAGATAAATAATTTTCACACATATCAATTATTAAAGTATATTGGGATCTCAAAGTCTGTTTTAAACAAGATTTTTTCATGTTTTATCTATAAAAATTTCCCTCCTCTTTATATTATACATACATATGTATATATACATGCATATATAAGTATGTACATATATATGCATATATAAGTATGTGTGTGTGTGTGTGTGTATATATATATATATATATATATATATTACACACACTTCTGACATTAGTAGGGAATATATTCATTGGTTTATTTTGGCATTAATACATGCTAGCCCCTGCAAACCTCATATCAACTCATTTAATACTTGCGATGGCTCTAAAGGTTAGATATTATTATCACTATCTTATACTAAGGAAACTGAGATTCCAGAAGGCTGATGAACCAAAAATCACCAGAAGTTGTCAAACCCAGAATTCAATCTTCAACCTGAGTAAAGACTCTGTGTTATTAGGTCAAATTCCTTGTCCCAGCAAAAATAATGAGCATCCTGTGAATATCTGGGGAAGCACTGGGACATCCTACCTCAGCTAAGGTGAGTCCAGGCATTGCTGCAATTATGTACCTATACATATAAAACGGTGGTCAAAGCTAACCATTTCAGTCTAAATGTACACCACTCCGTAAACCACCAAATGTAACACTGTTGCAAATTTTGGAAGTTTTATAAACTGCCAAGGTCCTGATTGTAGAAAACACGCAAAGAAGAAAACCAACAACCAACATAAAGTGCATGGTTGTGTTATTTTAAACCATTTCAACTATGTTTGATTCTTACCTGATTTCATTTCCAAGAGTGTATTGTTATCAATTTCATGGTTGGCTTTTCCAGGGTGAGGCACTCGCAGTGGTATGATCTGAGGGACACACACTGAACCAGCAGTCATTTTCCTTGTTTACATTTTTTAAAAATGCACATGGAAATAAACTCCAACAACTTCTATTTGAACACAAAAGCTGAAAGAAGCACCACATTTCAATACAGTAAAATTAGTAAAAAACTAAAAAGAATACTGTTAATACATCACCTAAAAATATTATTCAATTTTTTTACCTCAAGTTGTTATTTATTTTAATGAAAGGGAAGAACAAAGAACCTTTTAGTATAGTGAAAATATACTTTACTTTAATACAATAACTGCCATCAACATACTGGTTCCAGAGACAAAAGAAAATACAAGCATTCTATAATAAGATTTCATTTGCCTTTTCAATTAATTCTAAAGAATACTTCAATTCTGCTCAACATTATGACTTAGGGAATTGAAAATTTTTCCATGATAAAAATATAATTTTGGCAACCACAACCTTGATAATATGTAAAGAATGAAATTTTTAAAAAGCTCGTATAGTATATCAATAATGCATGCTTTCCTCTCTTTGAATCAAATACTGTTATAACTAGTGTAAGAATTCAGATGACCTCGATGAAACATGTATTTAATTGTTCATGAAAAAATACATTTTTATTTATCATTTTTACCTTGTAGATATTTTCTAAATGGATATTTTAAAAGCAGAGAAATAAAAACTCTCTATCATGCAATGCTGGAGAGATTCAAAACTCAACAGAAGGAAAACTGCCTAAATTCTAGAGTTCATCACCTTAATGTAAGAATAAACGTCAGAAATCTCTTAATTGAGACTTCTAGCCAAGATGGAGATGTAGGTGGAAATACTGTACCTCCTTGCACAACCAAAATTAAGGACAACAAAGATTTAGAAACAGAAACACATCAGAACAGAAAACTGAACTGTATGAAGGTCCAACAACCATTTAACCAGACTGGTAAGATGGGCAAAGTTGGTGGTCTGAGGAGAGGGATTGCAGCAGGAAAAGGCAGTGGCAGCCAGACCCAGGAGTGCAGGTGGCATGGGGCTGACCTCAGCACACATTCACATGCAGATAAACTAGGCAAAAATGGGCAGCAAGACAGACCTCACAACCCAGGGCCCCAGGGATGGGAAATAAAGCCTAAAAGCACTGATTGAAAAGGTGCCAACTTGTGGGAAGTAGCAGTGGGGACTGAGATCTGAGAGAGTGCACCATTGCTTCCTCTCTGACCCCGCCCCTACATACAGCATCACAACCCAGCAACGTGGGTTGCCTCACCCTGGTGAACAACTAAGGCTCCACCACTCATACCTAACAGGCACGGCCTGACCAAAAATGGCTCAATCAGAAGAACAAATCAAAGCCCCAGAGCCAATACTTTTAAGAGACAAAGAGATAGCCAACCTATCAGATGCACAGTTCAAAACACTGGTGATCAGGATGCTCACACAACTAGTTGATTTGGGTCATAAATTAGATGAAAAAATGAAGGGTACACTAAGTGAAATGAAGGAAAATGCACAGCGATCCAATAGTGATGGAAAGAAAACTGGGACTCAAGTCAATGGAGTGGCTCAGAAAAAAGAAATAAACAACCAAACAGAAAAGAATGAAGAAATAAGAATTCAAAAAAATGAGGAGAGGCTTAGGAACCTACAGGATATCTATAAACGTTCCAACATCCGAATTATAGGGGTACCCAAAGGGGAAGAGGGACAGCAACAAGTGGAAAACTTTTTTGAACAAATAATAAAGGAGAACTCCCCCAATCTGGTGAAGGAAATAGACTTCCAGGAAGTCCAGGAAGCTCGGAGTGCCCCAAAGAAGGTGGATCCAAGGAGGAACACACTAAGGCACATCATCATTATATTACCCAAGATTAAAATGAAGGAGAGAATTCTAGAAGCAGCAAGAGATAAGGGGACAGTCACCTACAAAGGAGTTCCCATCAGACTGTCAGATACTTTCTCAAAAGACATCTTACAAGCAAGAAGGGGCTGGAAAGAAGTATTTCAAGTCATGAGAGACAAGGACCCACATCCAAGATTGCTCTATCCAGCAAAGCTTTCATTTAGAATGGAAGGTCATATAAAGTCCTTCTCAGATAAGGTCAGGTTGAAGGAGTTCATCATCACCAAGCTCTTACTATATGAAATGCTAAAGACACTTATCTAAGAAAAAGAAGATAAAAATATGAACAGTGAAAGGACAGCAAACTCACAATTATTAACAACCACACCTAAAACAAAAGCAAACTAAGCAGACTCCTTAAACAGGAGCAGAGACACAGAAATGGAGATCACACGGAAGGTTAGCAACAGGGGAGTGGGAGAAGGAGAATGGGGGAGAAGATACAGAGGATAAGTAGCATAGACAGTAGGTAGAAAAAAGGGGGAGGGCAAGAATAGTATGGGAAATGTAAAAGCTAAAGAACTTGTGACCCGTGGACATAAACTAAAGGGGGAGAATGGGAGAGGAGAGGTGTGCAGGGTGGAGGGGAATGAAGGGGGGGAATGGGACAACTGTAATGGCATAATCAATAAAATATATTAGAAAAAAAAATCTCTTAATTGTATACAGACTGCTCATGGGTTTAAAGTTAAGTTGTATAAGCTAAAGTTACCAAAAAAATAAAACCTTATATGAATTTTATCACTAATCAACAATCTTAGTAAAAAGAAGATAATACAATTGCATAGAAAAATCTGTATTTGCACCTTTAAAAAAAAGGAAGCATCAACTGAAATAGCGGAGACCTTACCAACTGATGAACAGAAAAACTTCTCAGAATCCATTGGGAAAAAGACCTTCCATTCAGCCTCTAATCTCCTTCTTGGTTTAATGAGGGGGGATATGATTCAAAATTCTACTTGATAGTTGCAGAAATAATATCAGATGATTTCCATTATGGCAACCCATACACTACATGAATTCCCTTCAAAACTTTTATTTCCAAGTCTCCTAAGATTTCCTAAGTCTCCTAAGCTATGATCTTCCTACAAATATAAAATGGGGTAAAAAAAAACATGTGTTGGGATCATACTATTTACTAGCTTTTGTCCATTTGCCAATCTCAATTTCATTTGACTAACTTCCTTGATAAAGTAATGTCTTTCTATATAAAAAATAATTATTCCCTCATCAAAAATTATAAAGATCTATCTTCCTTGGACATTGAGAGGAACAGGCAAGTGGAGTCATGGATTTTTTAAAGATAGAAAATAAATATCCAAGGTACATATACTTCACAAATGAAGAATGTGAATTTCATCACTCTGTTTTAAGGAATGTTGCTTTTTCCTCATTAGCCCTCTATTCTATACCATTCACTGGAAAAAAAAGCAGACACCCTTCTTTTGAATCTTTTCCACACTCTGAGTTATAAGGCAAGATTCACTATCACCTGAATGTCAAGTTACCACTCTTTAAAGATAGGTGAAAAGTACTGATGGCTGTCTGTGTACTGGTGCTGATGTGACTTTTTTTTCTCTCATTTTCCCTTTATTCCCCTCCACCCTGCACCCCTCCTCCCACCTGCATTTTCTGCCCCCCTTGGTTCATGTCCATGGTTCATACATATATAAGTTCTTTGGCTTCTCTAATTCCAAACTATTTTAACCTCCCCCTGTCTACTTAGTACCTTCCATTTATGCTTCTTGTTCCTTGTATCTTTTCGTCCATTCTCTCCCTTCCTCCTCCTTGCTGATAGATAACCCTCCATGTGATCTGTATTTCTGTGAATTTATTCCTATTCTACTTGTTTGCTTAGTTTGTTTTTGTTTTTGTTTTAAGTTCAGTTGTTGATAGTCGTGAGTCTGTTGTCATTTTACTGTTAATATTTTTGATCTCCTTCTTTTTCTTAGATTAAATCCCTTTAACATTTCATATAATAAGGGATTGGTGATGATGAACTCCTTTACCTTGACCTCATCTGGGAAGCACTTTATCTGCCTTTCCATTCTAAATGATAGCTTTGCTGGATAGAGCAATCTTGGATGTAGGTCCTTGCCTTTCATGACTTCAAATACTTCTTTCCAGCCCCTTCTTTCCTGCACTGCAGGGTCTCTTTTGAGGAAGCAGCTGACAGTCTGATGGGAACTCCTTTGTAGGTAACTGTCTCCTTTTCTCTTGCTGCTTTTAAGATTCTTCCCTTCATTTTAATCTTGGGTAATATAATGATGATGTGCCTTGGTGTGTTCCTCCTTGCATCCAACTTCTTTGGGACTCTCTGAGCTTCCTGGACTTCCTGGAAGTCTATTTCCTGCCAGATTGGGGGAGTTCTCCTTCATTATGTTTTCAAATAACTTTTCAATTTCTTGCTCTTCCTCTTCTCCTCCTGGAACCCATATGATTCAGATGTTGGAACATTTAAAGTTGTCCTGGAGTTTCCTAAACCTCTCCTCATTTTTTCAAATTCTTGTTTCCTCATTCTGTTCTGGCTGAATGTTTATTTCTTCCTTCTTCTCCAAACTGTTGATCTGAGTCCCGGTTTCCTTCCCTTTGCTGTTGGTTCCCTGTACAGTTCCTTTATTTCACTTTCATAGCCTTCACTTTTTCCTCTAGTTTGTGACCATACTCAACCAATTCTGTGAGCATCCTGATTACCGGGGTTTTGATCTGTGTACCTGATAGGTTGGCTATCTCTTCATTGCTTAGTTGTATTTTTTTTTGGAGTTTTGGTCTGTTCTTTCATTTGTGCCTTTTTTTTGTCTTACTGTACCAGTTGGTAATAAGGGTGGGGGGCCTTCAGATGCGGCATTTTTCACCCACTGAAGCTACTGCTATAGAATTTCTCACTGGATAACCTGATAGTGCTGATTCCTGGAAGCAGATAAATCAGCGTCCAATATTTAATGACAGAAAGGTGAGCACTCAAACTTTTGATCAGCAATAAGGAGTGTTAAGAAAGGTAAAGCAAATTTCCCTGAGCCAAATGGATACAATATGGAGCTTTTCTTATCTTTCTGTACTATGCTAATTACTTAAGATAGGTTAAAAATATGCAGTATGCTTATAAAAATTGGGTTGCTTCTATAAAGCCAATGCTTACTAAATGTTAGCATATCAAAGGGAGGAAATCACTGCCATTTAAAAAGCAATATACTTATGATTTCCAAAAAAC